GACATGTGCAATGCGGGCACCTGGAGTTCCAGCTGCACCTACGCAAGGAAGGCAAGATTCTGCAAGATTCCGAAAGCTATCGATGATATTGGTAGATTATTATAGAATATTGAAGATAATTATAGATGATATCGATGTGTATATACATATATATATACACCTACAAATCCAACTGTCCAAAGCATCTGCCGGTTTCTGAAATGCAAACAATTTACTTTGCTTCCACCAAAAAAAACTGCCGTTTAAGGGAAAAAAAGCTCGCGCTATCTCCAATCAGAAAGCACATATACAGGAAAAAACAGAAAAACAAGTCAGGGCCTTCGGTGAATTCTATGTATGGAGCAATTAAGCTCTTAACGACGCCCATTTCCAGGAAGCCCAAGTGTTGCATCATAAGTAGAATTGTTTTCAAACCGTTCAAGGATTTATGAAAGCTGACCACTCGCAGTGGAGAAAATATGGAAAAAAGTCAGATCATCCAAGAGCTGTACTTGCAAAACTGTGGCTCTAGAGACATCTCTTGAAGTATCCAAATTACATGTTTTGTCTACGCAGTTTTCTGTGCTATGTTATGCCGTTTTAGCACGTTTTTATGGCGTTTCAACAGGTTTACGCCATTTTTGTTTTTGCCTTTTTGGAAAAAAACGCGTCTAGGGACTCTTGACGATCTCCACCGTTGTTGGAGAAGAAACATGTCCACGCAGAGCTTCACCGGGGGCTGTGTTTGTGATTCGACCAAAAGATTCCCGCATTGTGGGATTTATACAATCCACAATTGCAGCCTTTTGCCATAAAACCACTCTTGCCTCTTTCCATGACACTCTTGATACAAATTCAGCTATGTTGTTCCCAGGCACAAAGGTTCACCAATACCAAGACAACGCTGCCGCTCGAAAGCAAAAAAAATTGTAGTTTGCTCCAAGAAGCAGAAAACCCTGACACCCCAGAAAATGTAGACGCAATCAAGTCCTCCGCCGGGTATAGATCATATCAGAATCATGATCATATCGACCGTATTATCCGTATTGACATGTCAATGTCTAAAAGATTCTGAAAGTCGTGTTCGATATTGGGACATCTCTGAAGCCCCATGTCAGCCGCACATGCTGTCCTTCCCATGCTACAAACATGGTCTTGACATGTCTTAATCGCGTCTGTCATATCTCTTTGAGCGATTCCGGACACACATTTTCTGTTTTGAAAATTGCATCCTTTACTGCGTGTCTGGAGCATCCTTTAGTTCGATTTTCCACATGTTTCTCATTATTTCTCACCCTGACTCATCAGAACTAAAGTCTTGAGTCTCAAAATGTCCCCCGTGGCCAAAATGTTTTGATCGGTGAGACCGCGGTGGTTCGTGGTGCGTGGTGATCGGCGGACGCCTGCAGCCTTCAAGGCTTTGGGATCCTCCACAAAATGATGTCTCAAGGCCTCCGTGACACCGTGCGGCGGACAAACAAAAAACACGGAGAATTCACTGAATTGACTTTGGTTGTAGTCAGTGACATGTGATGACAAGCAAATAACAACCGAATGATACATGTGATTTTTGGAGGTGCCCGGTTTTTAGATCTACATCATCACCTCCAATCTCAGTCACCTGATTTTTTTTCCTGTTTAGCCTTGCACTGCTCTAAGTGCCAATCATCATCGGCTGTGATTCGTTTGTCAGGATCAAGTGCCTCAGCCAGAAAAATCTTAGAAAGTGAACTCAAAAAAAACGGTTGCAGGCTGGCTCCAACTCTAAAATCTGATGATCCCTTTGGTAAGGTGTGTTCGAGCATTTTGTCCAGCAAATCCGCGAAGTGTATCCTTGGCTGCTCAGAAAGAATCGGGAAATCGCAAACAACGCACGGCCCAGAATTGTGAACACATGTGAAAAGAATACCGATTTAGCCTAAAATACCCTAAAACTGCTCGCAGCGGAACACAAAATTCAAGGTGTCCCATGTCCTGAGATCAGCACGTTTTCTTCACGTATTGCTGGTCCTAACAAGCACTGGGTGTCGGGAACAAATGAAATGACACCAAATTGGGACCCAAACCTAGCAGCGTAGCATTCCATATCTTTCAATCTGTGTTGTCTGCTTTGCAAATCTGGCATCTTCTTGCGCCTTACTTCAGGTTCTTGGCATTGTGATTAAACATGATTAAACCTGAGAAGGGGGGACGAAAGCCAGCCCCTAGCAGGAAGATTTTTTGTTCTGCAAACTGTCTTGCTCCGAACCCCAACGGACGCTGCTCTCCATTGAGCTTCGGATCCTTTTTTTTCAATATGCTTGCTGCTTGCCTCTGTTCCTAGCCTTTTCAAAGCTTTGCCTTTCCTCCATGTCATGCCTTTTTCCCGAGTGCGTAGCAAAGATTACTGTTTCACTCTGGGGGTCTAGGGGCTGAGGGTGTGTTCGCTTGACGTTACGGTTACGTTCGCAACATTCCAACCTGTTTTGCATACCCCACATTCTACACTCCCAACTTGCCACTTTACACTCTACACTCCACACTTTGCACTGTACACTCCCCACTCCACACTTCACACTTTACACTCCTTACTTTACACTCCACACTTTACACTTTACTCCTCACACCACGCTCCTCACTCCACACTTTACACTCCATACTCCACACTGTACTTTCCTCACTTCACACTTGACACTCCACACTTTACACTCCACACTCCACACTTTACACTGTACACTCCGTACTTTACACCACACACTCCACACACTCCACACTCCACCACACTCCACCACACTCCACCACAGTCCACCACAGTCCACCACACTCCACCACACTCCACCACACTCCACAGTCCTCACTCCACACTTGACACTCCACAGTCCTCACTCCACACTCCACACTCTACACTTTCCACTCCACATTCCACACTCTACACTTTACACTTGACACTCCACGCTTTACACTCTGCACTTGACACTTTACACTCTGCTCTGTGCACTCTACACTTCACACTCTACTCTCTACACTCTACACTCCACACTTTACACTGTACACTCCTCACTCAACACTTTGCACTTTACACTGTACACTCTACACTTTACACTCTTTACTCTTCACTCTACACTCCAAACTCTACACTTTACACTTTGCACTCCTCAATCCCCACCCCACACTTTACACTCCACACTTTACACTCCACACTCCACACTTTACACTCTACACTTTACACTCTACACTCCACACTTTATACTTTACACTGTCCACTCCTCACTCCACACTGTACACTTTACACTCCACACTTTACTCTTTCCACTCCACACTTTACTCTTTCCACTCCACACTTTACTCTTTCCACTCCACACTCCACACTTTACACTCCACTCTCCACACTCGACACTTTACACTCTACACTTTACACTCTACACTTTACACTCTACACTCCAAATTTTACACTCCACACTTGACACTCCACACTTGACACTTTACACTCTACACTCCACACTTTACACTCCTCACTTCATACTTTACACTCCACATTTTACACTCCACGCTCTACACTCTACACTTTACACTCTACACTCCACACTCTACACTTTACACTGTACACTCCTCACTCCACACTTCACACTCCACACTGTACACTCCACACTCCTTACTTTATACCACACACTCCACACTCCACACCCTACACTCCACACTCCACACTGCACCACGCTCCACACTCCTCACTCCACACTTTACACTCTACACTTTACACTTCACACTTTACACTCCACACTCTAAACTCCACGCTCTACACTTTCCACGCCACACTCCACACTCTACACTTTACACTCTACACTTTTCACTCTACACTTTACACTCTACACTTTACACTCTACACTTTTCACTCTACCCTTTACACTCTACACTCGACACTCCACACTTTACACTGTACACTCCCCACTCCCCACTCCACACTTTACACTCCTCACTCCACACTCGACACTCTACACTCCATGCTCCTGACTCCACACTCCACGCTCTACACTTTACACTCCACATTCCACACTCCACACTTTACACTCCACACTCCTTACTTTACACTCCACACTCCACACTCTACACTCTACGCTGTCCACTCCACACTCCACACTCTACACTTTACACTCCACACTCTACACTTTACACTCTACACTTTACACTCTACACTCTACACTCCACACTTTACACTGTACACGTTACATGCCTCACTCCTCACTGCACACTGCACACTTTACACTCCACACTCTACACTTTACACTCTACACTTTACACTCTACACTCTACACTCTACACTCCACACTTTACACTTTACACTGTACACTTCTCACTCCACACTCCACACTGTGCACTCCACACTCTACACTTTACACTCTACACTTTACACTCTACACTCTACACTCCACGCCTTACACTTTACACTGTACACCTCTCACTCCACACTTTGTGTCAAAGATGGTGTGTGACAAAGTGGTGTGTGACAAAGTTGTGTGCGAGGGTGGTGTGTGACAAAGTTGTGTGTGATACGTGGTCTGTGACAAAGTTGTGTGTGAAAGATGGTGGGTGAAAGATAGTGTGTCACAAAGTGGTGTGTGAAAGATGGTGTGTGTGTGACAAAGTTGTGTGTGAAAGATGGTGGGTGAAAGATTGTGTGTCACTCCACACTTTACAACCCACACTCCATACTCCAGACTCCACACGCTACACTTTACACTGTACAGTTCCCACTCAACACTTTGCACTTTACACTGTACACTCCACACTCCACACTTTACACTCTACACTTTACTCTCTACACTCTACACTTTACACTGTAGACTTTACATTGTACACTCCTCACGCAACAGTTTACACTTTACACTGTACACTCCACACTCTAGACTCCACACTCCTCACTCCACACTCCACACTCTACACACTCCACACTCCACACACACACTCTACACTGCACACTCCACACTTTACACTTTACACTTTGCACTCCTCACTCCTCACTCCACACTTTACACTCCACACTCCACACTTTACACTCCGCACTCTACACTTTACACTCCACACTCCACACGTTACACTTTACACTTTACACTCCCAACTCCACACTGTACACTTTACACACCACAATTTACACTCAACACTCTACTCTTTCCACTCCACGCGCCACACTCCACACTCCACACTTTACACTCCACACTCCACACTGTACACTTTACACACCACAATTTACACTCAACACTCTACTCTTTCCACTCCACGCGCCACACTCCACACTCCACACTTTACACTCCACACTCCACACTCTACACTTTACACTCCACACTTTACACTGCACACTCCTCCCTTCACACTTTACACTCCAAACTGTACACTCCACGCTCTACACTCTACAGTTTACACTCGACACTCTACACTCCACACTTTACACTGTGCACTCCTCACTCCACACTTCGGACTCCACACTTGACACTCCACACTCCTTACTTTACACCCCACACTCCACACCCTACACTCCACACTCCACACTCCACCACACTCCACACTCCTCACTCGACAATCCCCACTCCACACTCCACACTTTACACTCCACACTTTACACTTTACACTCCACGCTCCACACTCCAAACTCCATACTCTACACTTTCCACGCCACACTCCACACTCTACACTTTACATTCTACACTTTACACTTGACACTCTACACTTTTAACTTTTAACTCTACGTACCTTTACATTCTACACTCTACACTCTGCACTCCACACTTTACACTTTACACTGCCCACTCCCCATTCCACACTTTACACTCCTCACTCCAGACTCTACACTCCGTACTCCTCACTCCACACTCCACACTCTACACTTTACACTCCACACTCCACACTTTACACTCCACACTCCTTACTTTACACTCCACACTCCACACTTCAAACTCTACACTTTCCACTCCACACTCCACACTCTACACTTTACGCTCCACACTCCACACTCTACACTTTACACTCTACACTTTACACTCTACACTCTTCACTCTACACTCCATACTTTACACTTTACACTCTACACTCCTCGCTCCGCAATGCGCACTTTACACTCCACACTTTGCACTTTACACTGCACACTCTACACTTCACACTCTACACTTTACACTCTACACTGTACACTCTACACTCCACACTTTACACTTTATACTGTACACTTCCCACTCCACACTCCACACTTTACACTCCACACTCTACACTTTACACTCTGCACGTTACACGCTACACTCTACACTCCACACCTCACACTTTACACTGTACACCTCTCACTCCACACTTTGTGTCAAGGATGGTGTGTGACAAAGTGGTGTGACAAAGTTGTGTGCGAGGGTGGTGTGTGACAAAGTTGTGTGTGATAGGTGGTCTGTGACAAAGCTGTGTGTGAAAGATGGTGGGTGAAGGATAGTGTGTCACAAAGTGGTGTGTGAAAAATGGTGTGTGACAAAGTTGTGTGCGAAAGATGGTGTGTGACAAAGTTGTGTGTGAAAGATGGTGGGTGAAAGATTGCGTGTGACAAAGTAGTGTGTGAAAGATGGTGTGTCACAAAGTGGTGTGAAAGATGGTCTGTGAAACATGGTGTGTGAAAGATGGTGTGTGTGAAAGATGGTGTGTGAAAGATGGTCTGTGACGGTATGTAAAAGATGGTGTGTGACAAAGTGGTGTGAAAAGATGGTGTGTGACAAAGTTGTGTGTGAAAGATAGTGTGTGACAAAGTGGTGTGTGAAAGATGGTGTGTGACAAAGTTGTGTGTGAAAGATGGTGTGTGACAAAGTTGTGTGTGAAAGATGGTGGGTGAAAGATTGTGTGTGACAAAGTAGTGTGTGAAAGATGGTGTGTCACAAAGTGGTGTGAAAGATGGTCTGTGAAACGTGGTGTGTGAAAGATGGTGTGTGTGAAAGATGGTGTGTGAAAGATGGTCTGTGACGGTATGTAAAAGATGGTGTGTGACAAAGTGGTGTGAAAAGATGGTGTGTGACAAAGTTGTGTGTGAAAGATAGTGTGTGACAAAGTGGTGTGTGAAAGATGGTGTGTGACAAAGTTGTGTGTGAAAGATGGTGTGTGAAAGACCTTCCTCGGCATCACTCCTCATCCCCTTGCAAACCGTCTTGCTCCGAACCCCAACGGACGCTGCTCGCCGTTGAGCTTCAGACCCTTATTCTTTTCAACATGCTTGCCTCTATGTTCTACAGTTTCTCCATGCTTTTCCAGGGTTTCCTTCCTGCAATTTCCTCATTTCCCCAACGTTTTCCTCGATATCCTTGGTTTTTCCAAGCGGTTTTTCCAAGCTTGCCATTCATGTTTTCTCCAGTTTAAGGGTTTTTTTTCGCAATTTTCCCCAATTTTCCTCCATTTTCCCCTTGTTTTCAACGCGTTGCCTTCATTTTCCTTAGTTTTTTCCTACCTTTTGCCTACCGTGTTCAAGGGACCTAGGGGGGATCGAAACCCACCGTCACCAAACTGCCTAGTAGCACATGCCCCCCCCAAAAAAAACTCCATTTCCTCACCCTAATCACCACCCTATATCGAGATTTTGGCTCCACTGGGCAACGTCCACCCCCCCACACCCCCTATACTCACTTCGTTCGCGAAAACAACTTTGCCTAGCCTATCGGCTGGCTTTCGTAACATGATTATACAGAAAATCAAACAATGATTAAACTATATTACACTCTCCACCAGGCGAAGACCAGTCCTCTCTCTCTTGGGACTTTTGCTTTTCTGAACCCACACGATCCAAAAGAAACTCCTGCAGGAACTGAGCTGCCACGTCTGAGCGCTGCACTGCGATGGTTCATCTGAGTATATATGTTCGTTAAATATTTTATATGTGCGTTGAAGACTTTTTGATGTTGTTTGCACTGTATGGATTTTAGGGCTCAGCTTGTTGGCGCTCCAACGTCAGCTCAATGTTAATAGAGCAGCAGTGTGCTACTGGGGTGTGGCAAAATAGGGATTCCATCCAGAAATAACACTTGATACACTTGTACATCTTGATCATCTTGTAAGATTCGCATTAGACTGTGGACTGAGGGGTGCTGATGATATCTGATGATTTGTGGATGTTCGTGGTCTATCTCTGATCTTTCCGGTGAAATGCGCCTTGAGCTCCCTCTTGCAGTTGTTGTCAGTGATGACCTTGGGCCGGGTGGCAAGTTGGGCTTCCTGAAATCGAACCATACCGGACCATACTCAACTGACTCTGAACAGATCTGAACAAATGGGTGAAGTTGAATGTCGTGTGGAATTTCCTGCATGGATGCAGGCCATCTTTAGCAGGGGAGTGCTTACATCATCGTACATCATCTTACATCATTTACATCCGACAAATAGATTCCCAGTAGTACCCGCACGAGGCGGGGCGGAAGTTGCCTTTGGGATATACTATAAGCCCTTTTTCATCTATAGAACTTGCATGCGCCGTGCGCCAGCCAGGCCCCTGCGTGCGTGCATTCTGCGAAAGTTGTGTCCTGTTTCACATGTCACATGTGAAGCTCTACTTCGCACTCAGGATCCCTAAAATGGAGGTACTGTACCATATAAGGCCATATTTTGTGGGGATATTCCCTTAC